ATTGTTATACTCAAAAAAAAATTGAGGGTGCTGAACTAAGTTGATTAGAAACCAATTAAAATATAAGAGTGAGGAAAAATGCACTGATCTGGAGAGCCATTTGGGAAAGTGGTATGTGCCAGTTTCTGAGCCATCATTTCTGAAGTCAATAAAGTAAATCATGACAGATCAATTTGGAAGCAGACTTCACAAACGCTGTGGAAGAGGATCCTAACTTTTAATTAATATCTTAATTACTTTAGCTGAAATAGCAGTATTTTAAAATATTTTGGATATCTTTTGAGAGTGTAGCAGCACTATAATGTTCATAATTCTGCACTTTCTGCTGCTGTTACCGATGTTCAGCAGGGTCTGCCATCTGAATTGCTAGATAATGACCAAAAGGAAACGTCCAACAGAACTTGGTGTTACAAGAAAAGAGAAAAGGAAAGGAGACTACAGAATGTCAACAGCATTCAGATCTTCAGGAAATGGGATATACCTCAATCTCATGGAGGAGCAGTTTATCAGGCATCTTTCCAAGGGAATTGGTCACAAAACTGTGGGGTGCTGTTGCAATGTAACCAATGTCTCAAACGAGCACATGAACAAGTCTTCTTGTGCCTGTCAAGTCACTTTGGCTATGAAGTTCTATATCACAAAGTCCTTCCAGGCTGCAACAGACGACATTAGTGATATAACCCAGTGCACTGTACAGTGCGGCATCAGAGATTTACCATCTATTCTAGGAGAATCAACTTTATCTCCACAGCCTGGAGTCACTGAAGCAGGATAAGACAGACAGCGTCTTTTCAATGGTTGTAGGCTTCCAGAAAGGATAAGAAATAATTAAGAGCACCCACACATTTCTCCATTCCTCCATACCCAGCCTCAAGACCCAGGTCAAGTCCAAGCTCCAAGAGCTTCCACTCAATCAAATAATCAGTAATGACAGACAGCACAGCCTGCAAATCTGTATCTTATTTCATGGCAAAAATCATGGTGCCTCCTATAAACTCAATATATTGTCTGTTTCGACTAAGCCATCAGTGTCAATCTAGCAGTTGGGGACAAGAAATGTGCACTGGGCATATAGCTCATGATTACTGTCAGGAAAGACAGCATAGAACCAAACTACACCTTCATCAGTACCATGCACACTACAATGCCCTGCAGTAAACTTTAGATTGTGTCTCCCAATTCTTAGCCATTTGCTGCATGATCTCTAGATTTGTCCTTCAAAGGGATCAACCCTTGAACTCACCTGGATAAGTAGATGTTCAGGAAAAACGTACTTTAAAAAACCTGAACAATCCCTCCGACACAATGCAACAATAGTCTCTGTCTGTATCTTACCAAGGTTTTGACACACACAACAATAATTCTCTCTAATCATAAACTATCTTTAATTCACCTCACCTTGAAAATCAGGCAAATTGACAGAAGACAAATAAAAGCAAAAATTTTTTCATCAAAGTTAGCAATGAAAATTTGCAAATCACCTTATGTGAAGTGCTGGTACCAGACCTCTATCCTGCATTCCCTATTTGGCATTTCTATGAGCTAATTCCACATGGCTGAAGCTTGGGAGGTAGACGGCTTCCCAAACCCCACAGGACACACTTAGAATGGTGCGAGCCCTTGAGGTGCTTTGAATACAAACAACCCAGTGCATGCATAAATTCCTGGTATCCATCTAGCAGTTTTCTTCTGTTCTGTTTAAGTCATCATCTGTGTCATCTGCGTCAGCACTGGGATCCACACTTACCCTTAGGTTACCTATTTCTGTGTTCTCTGATACTCCTGACGCATATTTTTCTCGCTAGTACTGGATACATTCTCCCTGTACAGACCTGTCTAACCTACCCTTTAACATGCCTGTGGTGCCAGATTCTGTCATGATGCCTGTAAGGATAAGGTGAGTGACACATCCATAATGCTACACTCCACTTCAGATGTTAACTCAAAGCAGCTATGGATCCTGAAATAGCCGAGAAGATCGGTTCATGCCAGAAACTAAACAGAGTGTGATTAATGGCTGTTGAAAAAACTTAACAGGGTTTGAAGTGTGAAATTGGAATGCAAAGGGAAACACTATAAACATGTGAAATAGTAGGGTATGTGCCAAGGAAATAGAGCAATTGACCCAGGCAGCTCATACAGATGTTGTGCTGCTCTCAAGCATTCACAGATAGTTCCTTATCTGAATCTATTGTTGCAATCCTTTTCTAATTTACTCTTAAATGAATGTATATCCTTCACTTCAATAGTTAAGCTACTTTGTGGTTGCACATTCTTATCACTCTTCAGGTGAAGTTCCTTGTGAATTGTCTATTGAGTTTTTTGGTGACTAACTTATGTTGATGGATTCTAGGTGTTTCTTTTAATTTCTTTAAAGGAAGTGGACATCACTGGCTAAGTCAGCATTTGTGAGCATCTCTACCCTAGTTGCCCTGTAGAAAGTGATGGTGAGCTGTTTTCTTGAACTGCTGGAGTCCTCATGATTTAGTGACACCCACAATGTATGTTCTTTTGCGCAAGAGGAAACATTCCTTCTTTATCTAGTTGATCAAAATCTTTGATCATTTTGAATACATTTATAAGAGCAACCTGCATGACTTTTGCAAGATGGAAAAGAATCTATCCATGATAGAAACGGTGTGCAGAATGAAGAATAAACAGTACTAGCGTAATATGCAGATTTGACATCACACATGGGCACAGACTAATTTTCCTCCCACCTAGTAACAAAGTCATACAGAGAGTAAGAAAGAGTAAATGTCAAAGAAGAATGTTTTAGTAGTTCATGCTGTTCATACTCCAGACTCCTATAGTCTGAGCTATTAAAATCACCATCTGTGACCTCCACAACAGGTCTCCAACATAGGTGTTGCCTCCAACATAGGTAAGTATTGCAAACTGGGAACACAAGTGAAAGCCAATAAAGACATTTTGTATTATCTCGGTCCATAGGCAACACCACAAAAAATAAATTATTTATCATTAAGTACTGCTATACGTATAGTAACCTTGTTTTAATGGCATTTTCTCTTGCTGTGTTAACGTGTCAATGTTTCCATGGTTTCAATGTGTTTTCTATCTAAAGAATAGCTAGCATGAAATCACACTGTGAAATACAAGCATAACAAATTTAGTATTCATATAAAGTGTCCCTATCCACAATTTTACCAGCAGAACTAATCAATTTAAAATCAATACACTATTACCACACATGATAACTTGTGTTTCCCAGCTGACAATTAATGTTAACCTAAGTTAAACAGATCTTCTAATGTGTTCCCCAGTTGATTCTCTTTACAATTACTGCTCACAGATGATGAAGATGTGAAATTAAGATGAAAGATCAATTATTAATTAAAAGAGTAATTTTAATTTTTTCAAAAGACTACCTTCTTCATCTATCATCAAACCCATTTCTTCTTTTGCAGTTCTCTTAATGCAATGCATACTGCATTTAGTTTGAAGAATTGGGGTCTGGTGTAAATCAGTTCGAAATAATTAATCAGGCCAAAAGAGTAAAGTGCTAATAGCTCCAATACAGATTTTCTTTTTAAAAAAATGTGTCTTGGAAAATGTGTGAACCTGAATTCTCAGCATCTTGTCGTATAACCTCAACAACTTTTATCTTTGCTGTTTGTGTCATATTATGGGTGTCTCAAGAAAGAAATGCAGGATGCAGCAGTCCTCTCAAAGACAAATCTCCAAAGTGTTTTGAGCAGCAGTGACTTCGGTATTTGGGCACATGCATGTTTGCATATTGGAAAATGAATAAATAACCAACATTTTCTGTATGGTGAGGGAGCCAGAGCCTTTAGAACGCACAAAGTTTGCATGTATGACACAAAAGACCCAAATTTTATTTTGCACCTGGGAAGCACTATGATCAAAGGAAATAGTGATTGAACCTGTGGGCAGGCCTGCCATTATGACAATCAGTTTCTATAGTGGCTTGGCAACAGGCATCAACATCAAAAACAATAAACTTCAACAACACTTGATAACCATTTCATATATAGCATTTGTGGCAAAATCTGCTGAAGACTGCTGTTTTTAGCCACAAGCAAATATGCACCATACAAACCTATGTCACTCCTGATGGATTTGATTAGCTGTATGTCCATATCTTATGTAGATGTAAGGATGCTAATGATTAATGGGATACTTTGATTAGTTTGGTATGTCGTTATAAGACTGTAAAGCATAGGAGCTGAAGAAGGCTGTTGAGCCTACTGAGTCTGCTCTGGCATTCCTCGACTCCACTTTCCTTATAACTCTTGATACCCTTATTGATTAAAAATCTGCCTATCTCAGCCTTGAATTTACTTAAATGCTGAGCCTCTACAGCCTCTGCAGTAAAGAATTCCACAGAGTCACTGCTCTCTGAGAGAAGAAATTCCTTCTCAATTTTGTTTAAATGTACAACGCCTTATCCTGAGGCTGTGCCTCTGGTCCTAGACTGTTCCACAGGGAATCCTCTCCCATCAGGAAGGTCTTTCCCACAAATTAGGGGAATGTTGTGCTTTCTTGTAAGGTTACGACTGATTGCTGCAATTTGTGGTTTATTATTCAGTAAACATTTCTGTAAACCATTTTTATTCAAAACCTAAAGCTACTCAAATTACCTTGGAAGCATATTGTGTTCGTTCACATATGTTTGTTGAACAAAGTTATATTAATTTAAGCAAAAATGAAAATTATATTATTGGTATGCTCAATTATAAACAATAAATATTATAACTTAGTTAAGTTTATATATAAAATGACAGTGGTTGGTATTTTGGGAACTTACAGTGGGAACAGACAGTAGAAATTTTCTAATGCTGATTTTTGGAAACTGAGTGTTCCACAGGTTGTGAACTTATTTGATGTTCAAAAATAATTCCCTGTTTATTAGTTTTAACGTGGAGATTTATTCAATCAAACACATAAACCTGATGATGTATTGTAAGATCACTGTGGGAAAATCATATAACCTGTGAATTATTGCTTCCCCTTCACAGGCAGTTGACACTAATTTGGCAGCTGTTGACAGTCACTGGATCTTCATCAATGAGGTAATTAAAATCAAGTGGATCAAGATGTACTATGCCACAGAAATTTGCCAAATATCACTGTAGTTTATATTTTTCATTATCCTATATGCTGATAACTTGTCTGACTAGAAGCCCCTTCATAAAAACAGGATTGTATAAAGATTGGGGAGTCTTACAGATTCATTCTTTTATGGATCTGTTGTAGAATGCATTGTGTGAAGTTGTCTATTATTTTTGAATACTATTGAACTTCAATTTAATTAAATCGTAGAATGGCACACAAATTCAAAACAATTGTTAATTATGCAGCAAATGTATGAGCTTGGCACTATGCTATCTTGCATTTGTTCATACATATTTATAAGAAATACCTAAGTTTTAGGACCTAAGGCCTGTTGTGCCATTTGCTCAGGTTTGGTCAATCCACCTTTGGTCTGTTTCTCCAAATATTTTTATTGAACAAACGTTTATCAGTCTATGTCATAAAAGTTTCAAATGATACCACATCCATTGCTTTCTGAGGAAGGAAGTGCTGGATTTTTAATGTTTTCTGCAACTTTTTTTTAACGTACTTCTCGATTTCGTTTTTTGAATGGCCTTGCTTTCATTTTAAGATTGTGGCCCCTGTTTAGGATCAGAGATTATAGGTTTACTTTGATGGCAGAATTGAATTATACTGTCATTTAAACATCTCAATTAGGTCAAAACTCAATTTTCTGTCCCCAGGTAAAATCAAACTTCACACTTTGGCAATTATGAAAAAGTTAATGAAATTTATGTGATATGTAAAAGTATATTACAGCTCCAATGTACAACATAGAATCTTACAATCATAGAGTCCTACAGCATGGAGACAGGCCCTTTGGCCTAAACTGGTCCGTGCCATTCAAAATGTCCATCCATGCTAAGCCCATTTCCCTGCATTTGGCCCATATCCTTCTAAACCTTTCCAATCCATGTATTTGTCCAAATGCCTTTTAAATGTTGTTAATGTGCCCACCTCAACCCCTTCTGCTGGCAGCTCGTTCCATATATATACCACCTTCTATGTAAAGAAATTCACCTCAGGTTCCCATGTATTCTGTCTCCTCTTACCTTAAACTGATGCCCTCTAGTCCTCGATTCCCCAACCCTGGGAAAAAGACTGAGTGCATTCACCCTATCCATGCCCCTCATGATCTTATACACTTCTATAAGATCCCCCCTCAGTCTCCTACGCTCTAAATAAAAGTCCTAGCTTGTCCAACCTCTGCCTATAACTCAGACCCTTGAGTCCTGGCAACATCCTTGTAAATTTCTTCTGCACTCTTTCCAGTTTAATAACATCACTCCTATAGCAAGGTGACCAAAACTGAACAAAATACTCCAAATGCAACCTCACCAACATCATGTACAACTGCATCATAACTTCCCAACTTCTGTACTCAGTACCCTGACTGATGAAGGCCAGTGTGCCAAAAGCCTTCTTCAATGTCCTGTCTACCTGTGACTCCACTTTCAGAGAACCACGCACCTGAGTTTCAAGGTCCTCTCTTCCACTATACTCCTTAAGGCCCTACCACTCACTAGGAAACTCCTACCTGGATTTGACTTTCGAAAATGCAACACCTCGCATTTATCTATATTAAACTCCATTTGCCATTTCTCGGCCCACTTCCCGAGCTGATCAAGATCCTGCTGCAATTTCTGATAACCTTCCTCACTGTCCATGAGACCACCTATTTCAGTGTCGTCTGCAAAGTTACTAATCATGCTTTGTACATTCTCATCCAAATCATCGATATAGATAACAAATAGCAATGGGCCCAGCACTGACTTCTGAAGCACACTATGAGTCACAGACCTCCAGTCAGACAAGCATCCTTCCAGTATTACCCTATGCTTCCTACCATCAAGCCAATTGTGTATCCAATTTTCCAGCTCTAACTGGATTCCATATGATCAATGCTTCCAGAGCAGCCTGCCATGTGGAACCTCATCAAAGGCCTTACTGAAATCCATATAGACTATGTCTACTGCCCTGCCCTCACCAACCTTTCTGGTCACTTCATCAAGGAACTCTAACAAGTTTGTGAGGCATGATCTCCCACACACAAAGCCATGGTTACTACTTCTAATCAAACCCTGACTTTCCAAATGCATGTTTATCTTATCCCTCAGAATCTTCTCAAGTAATTTACCTACCACAGATGTTAAGCTTACCGTTCTATTATTCCCGGGTTTTTCTTTGCAGCCCTTCTTGAATAAGGGCACAACATTCGCTACCCTCCAGTCTTCCAGGATTTCACCCGTGGCTAACAATGATGCAAATATATGAGCCAGGGCCCCCACAATTTCTTCCATAGCATCCTGTGGGGTTCTTGGATATATCTTGTCAGGACCAGGAGATTTATCCAGCTTTGTACATTCTAATACTTCCAACACCTCCTGTACTGTGATATGTACTGTCCCCAAGACGTCATCAGTAACTTCCCCAAGTTCACAAGTCTTCATGTCTTTCTCCACGGTAAACACAGAGGAGAAGTATTCATTGAGGATCTTGCCCATCTCTTGGGTTCCCACACATACATATCCACTTTGGTCCTTGAGTGGTCCTATTGTCTCTCTAGTTATTCTTTTTCCTTTAACAGACCTGAAGAATCTCTTTGGATTCACCCTAATCTTCTCTGCCAAAGCTATCTCATGCCCCCTTTTTTGCCCTCCTGATTTCCTTCTTCGGTAAACTCCTGTATCCCCTTTATACCTCCAGGGATTCCCTTGATCCCAGCCGCCTGCTCCTGAGCCATGCCTCCTTTTTTTTGGTCAAAGCCTCAATATCACTTGTCATCCAGGGTTCCTTACTCCTGCCAACCTTGCCCTTCACCCTCACAGGAACATAAAGATCTTAAACTGTAGCTATCACACTTAAAGGCCTCCCACTTGGCAGAGGTCCCTTTGCCTGCAAACAAACTACTCCTATCAACCCCTGCAAACTCCTGTCTAATTCCATCAAATTCATCTTGCCCCAGTTTAGACCTTGAACCTGTGGAGCAGTTTTGTCTTTTTCCATAACTATTTTAAAATTAATAGAACTATGGTCACTGTCCCAAAGTGCTCCCCCACTGTCACCTCAGTCACCTTCCCGAGTAGGACCCTATGTATGCTTAAGGAAACTTTCCTGAACACACTTAACAAATTCCACCCCATCTAAGCCCTTAACACTATGGCAGTCCTAGTCTGTTATAGGAAAATTAAAATTCCCCACTTATACAAACCTATTTCTCCAGCAAGTCTCCCCAGTCTCCCTGCATATTTGTTCCTCTAATTCCCGTTGACTATTTGGGTGCCTATAGTACAACCCCAATAACGCCACCATCCCCTTCTTATTTTTTAGCTCCATCCACAAAGCCTCACTGGATGATCCCTCAGTTATTTCATCTCTGACTACCGCTGTGATACTCCCCTTAATCAAAAATGCAACTCCCCCTCCCCTCTTTCCTCCACCTCTGTCTCGCCTAAAGCACTTGTACCCTGGCACATTAATGTGCCAGTCCTGTCCTTCCCTTAGCCATGTTTCTGTAATGGCTACAATATCCCAGTCCCATGGACCTATCCGTGCCCTGAGTTCATCGGCCTTACCTGTCAGACCTCTTGCATTGAAATTGATGCAATTTAATCTAACAGGCATTCCTCGCTTTCTGTCCTGTTCCAACCTGACTTGTCTCTTCAACCTGCTATTTCTGATTACTGTATCTCCTTCCAGCCTAGCACTTGCCTCCCTGCTGTTTAGGATCCTAAACCCCTGCCAATCTAGTAATAATCAAGACATGGGCATTAAAAACAGAATTGATAAATGTATGATAACAAGGTGTAGAGCTGGATGA